TAACTCAATTTTATGGTCATTTATTAGTTTATAAACCCAATTGAATTTATGTGGTACAAACCATTAGCTAAAGGGCCTATTTACATATTTATGTATCCTTTCACTGAGTACCTAGGAAACACTTCTTAAATATGTCATTGTGTCATAGCATACGCTTTGTTGAACATCAGCCAAAATGCAGTTATTTGTGTCTCTGCTAGACACATTTGATCTTCGTACCTTTAATTAAAGTTTGATTTATTAAAAACCATTTCAAAAATTTAAACTTATAAAGTTTATAGCCTTACTTTCTGGCCGTTGATTGTTTGTAGGTTTCTCTTCGTACTCTACTTTCAATGGAACGTAATTGATCTGCAATATATTATTAAAAATCAATCACCATTCTAGTTATTGTCAATTATATTTTTATAAAAATAAATTACCGTAAAAGGACCAGACTGGAGGATGTAGGCCTATGGTGGACTTTAGCATGCTGTGAAAACTTTCTACATAATTATTGGTACAGATGTTTACACCATAAACAGTAAACCTAGATGGACGTACTGTTGTTAACCAGTATTGTCGAACATAGTCCAATAACTGAACAATTCGGTTCAGTATGCCCATTCGAGTTGCCAGCCTTGTGATTGCCAGAAAACCCCCAAGAATGTGGAAGTCTTTGGGAAATTCTGGAATCCGCTGTTGTGGTGGCAAGTGTGGTAAAGCCCTAATCTATATATAAAAAAAAATGTCAATATTAATGTAAGAATTTCTCAAATCACCAGATCCTAATCCGTCAGTCATTGATTGTTATAACTTATTACCATTTTCACTATTGTGGTAAGATGAAGATTTTTGCTCAATAGTGTCGTCCATGGGTCTGGACAAAATGTAAAATTCCCTGCAAACAAATTGTACATTTGAGAATATAATTTCATTATTGACCAAGGTAAATAACAAATACTGAAATGCCTTAAAAATATTGGGTAAAAATCCTTTTTTTTAGTTACCATTATTTTTATTTTTTTTATTTCATTGCAAGTTTATTAGGTTATAACTTATAAGGAATAGATTGGTATAATTTATGATTTGAAATATTTTTGATGGTACAAACAATTATGATGTACGCAATTAATGTTTTTAATGTTTTGTCGTATTGTTTAATTATAGTGAAACTCAAAAAATATGTATATTATATACATATGGGGGCTATTTACTATAACACGTTGAGAACATTAAAGAAGTGAAATGTGATGTATCATAGAGTATTTGGCATTTGATTAATTTATTTGACAATATTAAAACTGAGGTAATAGGAGAAACAAATATTAATTATTAATGTAATTGTCTTTTCAAATTACAATAATGAGAAATGTAAGTGAAAGTTTCCCATGTTATTGTGTTCTATAAATATTAACTGTTCATTCCTTTCCTAAATACTTGATACCATATTAATGAATTCTCCTATAAAAACACATTTTCATACCGACTTAGGACTACAGAAGTAATACAACATTTTAGGTTATAATGTAGATACAACAAATTTCTTTTAAGTAAACAAATTACTTAAAAGGTGTGTATTTATTAATCGTAATTTCTGATCTTATAAAAAGTGTACCAGAGTGACATTCTTACTACTTATACCGTCGAGTACCCCTAAACCATCGCCCATCAACCTTAAGCACAAGCTACCAAGTATAAATATCGCAGAACAAAAGAACGTGTTGGTGAGGTGGGTCGAATGATTCAGTCTTAAAGTGTGTCCGAACCCTCAATGGATAGTACAGTGCTAATATAAACATTAATGTCACCGCAATTCAAAAGTGAAAAAAAAATGAAAAATTTCAAATTTTTTTTGCATCAACGCATAAATTGTTGTTCACACAAAAAGATAAACCTAATTTGGATGATCAAAATACAATCCTTCTACTTTAAATTATATTATTTTAGTATTATTGTTATAACAAACACTGTGGAATAATGTATTATATTCTACAGTTTAAACACTTTAAACCATAATGCTCTTATAATACATTAACATACATGTCCATAAAGAATATCGCAATGGATTCACAATTATATTTCGTCCAAATTCGAGATCCGGTCAGTGTCCTCCGGCTCCGCCAACTGGATTCCTCAATAGTTTTTAATGAGCTGAAATATGCAGGCCCGATAAGAATGAAGTTGGAAAGTCGGGATTTCACCGCAGGCATTGTAGTGCATATGACTTCAGCTGATGATGCACCCGTCCAGTGGCGTCGCGAACTATAAATCATATGGAAGCGAACAAATTATTTATGACCTACCCCACCCTACTCCAACTGATGTATAAGATATTCATATGCTTAAATAGGGGGGTTAGGTAACACTCAAAATAAAGTTCAAAGACTTACCGTGTATGTGGGCTTTATGCGGTTATGAGTAATGACCCACCGCCCAGAAACCAGAAGCAATTGCTTCTGAAAAACATGATTCGCTATGCCACTACACTCGTCATCGCGGATTTGAACTAAAACGAACCCGCCGTTGCCAAGATGTCATTATCAACTAAATCTATATAATAATAATATATTCACATGTCATGTCCCGTATTCTGTCTTGACCAAGTGTGCGTCCAAATGCCAGCCACGTCACTATATCGCCACAGCCGTTTTTTTATAGCATCACGAATTATCTCATTATATACGCTGACGAGTGACGGTGTATGGCAACATGTATTATATCGAAATACCTATTATACAAACTTTAGCAATGTCGTACCCGTACAGCGGCACGTTGTACGTGTGTAGTGTGTACTGCGTACGGAGACAACATAATATGCGGGTGCGACCTATTCTTAATAAAAAGCTATAAATATAATATAAAACATAAACATTGATATTGACTGATTCTGCTATAAATAAATGAATATGGCTATATTGCATTATAATATAGCACCATAATAATATTTAGAACATGGTATTATCTTATTTTCATAATTTTATTAGAAAATAATATTATTTTTGTGCGTACGGACTATGAATAACCAGTTGCCAATTGGTCATTAGAACACAATCAGTTATACGCTATTACAATATTGCAACGCTGTTTTACACTATTCAACTATTGTAATATTTATTCTTTGGGTTCGTATTATTCGTATCGTGTTTGCTGTTATCTGCTTGACTTTCCGACAGATTGTTAATAAATGTATTGCATCAACCATTTACTCTTGTTTTCATTGTTTAAATTGTTTTGAATTGTAATACATTGAGTGATTGTGATTCTTCAACCGAAGTCGATCAGGTTGCAGATTTAGAAGAACCAATTTTACTCTGGCCAAATTATCAAAAATATTTTAAAGTATTAAGAGTCAT